GGACGAAGAACAACACGAGGTCATCGGGTCTCGGCGTCCAGAACCTCAGGGTGATGATGACGCCCAGGTTAACCGCGGCGCCGAAGCTGAAGACGGGGACGCGACCGAGCTTTCGGACGAGGGGAGTGAAGCCCCAACTACACAACATGTCGCATATCCCGTAGCATATGATGGTTCCGCCCACCATGTGCACGCCGAGACCGCATGAGACGTAGGCCTATGTAGAAAGAGGAGGTTGTTTTTTTTATTTTTATTTTTTATGTGTTTATTTCTATTTATTTTTTTATGAGGGGGAGGTCGAAGAGGATGCTATATGTCATTATGCTGATGGTGGTGATGTCAATGATATGGAATGGTAATAATTTGGTAATTGTAGTGATATGTTAATATACTTTACATGGATAGATATTAATGTAGATATAGTTATATAGATACAGATATGTGCATGTATATGTATATATTAATGGGGAGGTGGCCTTGTGGGTCCACCTCCCCCCATAAAAAGCACACTGGCAATGTGTTTGTAAATACTGGGGGTGGGGAGGTAGGTACTGCCCTTCCCACCCAGTAAGTGAGGCAGGCTGTCGGTCCTGTTAAAAGGGCAACTGCTGGGACACAGGACGGGAGTAAGTGCAACTGCCAGGTGGGCATTGGTTTCCACAACTTGTTGCCCTGCTTCATATGAGGCAACAGCAAGGGGTGCCAAAAGTGCCTACCATACAGAGTGACTGCCCAAAATATACCCAAGATGTATCAGATTGATCCTCCAGCAGTTTGGACACAAGTGGTGCCGCAATCCCTGTGTCTAACTGAGGTTAGGGAGGCGATAAAGCAGTGGGCATATGCAGTATTCTTGCTGAACTGCTAAAGGCTAGTGGTGAACCTATGGCATGGTGTACTGGCTACCATCTGGCAGTCCGGTACCATTCTTCTGGACCTGTTGATAGGTGCAGTCAGTATTCTGAGGAAGGAAAGGATGAGACTGTATCAACAACCATTGAATCACACTACTCAACATACCAGGAAAGGTTCTCGATCACATTCTACTGGATTCACTTCTAGCTTGTCCACAGTAGACCGTATCTTAGTGCTTTGAGTCACTGTGGAATGCTGTGAGTTTGATCATGGGCTGCTAATTGCAATAAGACATTTGATACGGTGCATTGCAAATTGTTCAAGGAGTTCCTGAGACTTAGGGGAATCCCAACAAGAATTATAAGACTAATAAATATAATTGATGAAAGTGTTGTAAAGTGTGTTGGGGCCTATTGAGTTTTTCCTTGGTAGTTCAGGAGTGAGGCATGGTTGTGTTCTCATGCAAACATTTTCAACAGTATCAGTCACTGGAGTAACACTGGGCAATATCAGTGTCACCGACCTTAACGTTGCTGCTAACCTATTTGAGTCTCTGGAATCTCTGAAGGCGGCTCTTGATGCATTCAGCAATGAAGCAAAGCCCTGGGATTTAGAGGTATCTTGGACCAAGACCAAGACCCAGGATTTGGGAGGCCCACAAGGAGAACCTCTTCAGTTGGTACATATCTGTGGCAAGGATATTAAAGCCACATACCTTGGTAGTGTAGTTCCTGACTGGACTATCAGACCAGGAAGTCAGTAGACGGATTAGCCTTAGCATCAGGTGCCATAAACTCAGTCAGTAAGAGTATTTAGAGATGCCGGTACCTGTACAGAAGGACCAAGCTCTGATACTGCCAGTTTCACTTTATGGAAGTGAAACCTGGACGCTATCTTGTGCCTTGGAGTCTCGTTTTGATGCCTTTTGTATCAGGTCCTTACGCCAGTTCCTAGTTTACAGTTGGCATGACCATGTGTCCGTAAAACCGACATAAGACCTATTACTTTTACAATCTGTGACCGCTAACTCAGGCATCTAGCTCGTTCCCGTGGACGATCCTTCTCATCAGGTTGTCTCTTCCTTATGCAACTCCGGGTGAAGGAGGCTCGTGGGACGACCAAGGAACTCGTAGCTTGAGGGGATTGGCCAGACCTGTCGCGAGGAGGCAGAATGGGGCCAAGGGATTGCCTAGTGGCTAGCTATGATGATATGTATACATATATGCATACAATACATATAAATACATATATGCCTAAGTAGACACGCACACACACACACACACAACACACACACACACACACACACACACACACACACACACACACACGCACACACACACACACACACACACACACACACACACATATATATATATATATATATATATATATATATATATATATATATATATATATATATATATATATATAGAATATATGTATATGTATATATATATATATATATATATATATATATATATATATATGTATATATATATATATATATATATATATATATATATATATATATATATTTATTTGCACAGACATATATGTACATATGCTGTATGTATGTGTTTCTGTATTTATAAATATCTTCACTTAGGCATGAGTGAACATGCACGCACATAAACTAAATAATCCATCCTCACTGCACTATCTTAACAAAAAGTATTATACCAAAAAGAAAGAAAAAAAAACTTACAGCAGTGTAGTCTGCAGAGAGGAATTCCTGCTCGACTCCAGACCAGATTGTCAAGGGGATAATCAACAGCTGATATGGGTGACGCACGTGGTTGAATGTGTTGACGATCAGCTGTTTGTTGTTCACCTCCACTCTCTGGCCTTTGTCGAAACTATATCAAGAGGTGAGGAAAAGGAATAAAGTCTTGGATGAACATACACATGTATAAACATAGACATACGTACACAAATTGATTATTTTTTTCATCTTTTCAATGAATGAGGGAGCTAAAAAATGTTCCTTGGTTAAAATGTAAAACTAGAGAGAGAGAGAGAGAGAGAGAGAGAGAGAGAGAGAGAGAGAGAGAGAGAGAGAGAGAGAGAGAGAGAGAGAGAGAGAGAGAGAGAGAGAGAGAGAGAGAGACGAGAAAAAGGAAAATGGATATGAAGAAACAATAAGAAAGAGACCAAGTTATACGAAACTAAAAGCGAGTAAAGCACTAATTATAATCATAATGGTAATAACAAATACAATAATAATAAAGCGGAAAGAAAAACAAAACTCAGTAACATTAAATTAATAAAAAATACTAAACAAGATATAGACAAATTTAATAATAAAATGAAACAGACCAATAAATAAATAAACCGAAACAAACAAACAAAAAAATGAATAACGGCCACTCCGAATAAAAAAAACAAGATATAAACAAATTTAATTTACAAAAATGAAACAGATCAATAAATAAATAAACCGAAACGCCGAATCAAAACACAAAAAAAACAAAAAAACAAATGAATAACGGTCACTCCTAACCTTTCGAGCGGATCAACGAATACAAGGACGATAAGCGCCGACAGAACGACAAATCCGAGATAAATTCCGGACATTGTGTAACGCTGCCATTGCGGAATCCCTTCCTTGGTACCAGCAGAGGTGTTGGTATTGGTGGTATCGGCGTGTTTATCCCAGGGGCAGAAGTGGTATCCGCACGCAATGAGGTCTTCAGCTGTTTTGTGTTCCTCTTCGATCCCCACTGACAACACTGTGGATTTGATTTGTGTTTGTTATCTAATTTCATCTGTAATGATAGTAATGATTAATTATTATTTTGGGAATTTATGTCATGGTAGTAATGATAATTGTCATTATTTTGGGGTGGAGATTGTATTAGAGAATTTGTTTGTTTGTGTTTGTTTGCGTTCGTGTTTGAGTGTTTGTTTAATTGTTTCTTTGCGCGTTCGCGTTTGTGTATTTTTTGACAATTTAGATCTGTGCAGAATTAGAATATTTTGATATCCAAAATATAGCAGTTCGACATAATTAATAATATATATATTATAGATATTATTAATCTCTCTCTCTCTCTTTCTCTTCGCTTTTTCTCTTTCCCTCCTCCTTTCATCCTTCCCTCCTCTTACCCTTCGCCCTCCCCTCTCTCTCAGTTCTCATAATACTTCAGAGACACACCTGTAGAAGAAATTCTTTTCTCTCTCCCTCTCCCCCCCCTTCTTCTCTCTCCTTCCCTACTCTCTATCTCTCTTTCTCCTCTCTCATTCCTCTCAGTACCTCCCTCCAGAGACACACCTGCAGAGATGACATTGCCCCACACCTGCGTCTCATTCTCTCTCTCGCCCTCCTTCCTTCCCTTCTTCTCTCTCTTCTCCCTCTCCCTTTCTCGCTCCCTCTCCCTCCTTCCCTTCTCTCTTCTCTCTCTCCCTCTCACATTCCTCTCAAAACCTCCAGAGACACACCTGTAGAGGAGATGACGTTGCCCCACACCTGCGTCGCTCTCTCTCTCTCGCCCTCCTTCCTTCCCTTCCTCTCCCTCTTTCCCTTCCTTCCTTCCTTCTCTCTCCCTCTCTCCCTTCCTCCCTTCTCTCTCCCTCTCTTCCTTCTTCTCTTTTCCTTCTCCTCTCTCCTTCCTCTCAAAACCTCCAAAGACGTTGCCCACACTGCGTCTCTCTCTCTCTCTCTCCTTCCCTCCCTCCTCTCCTTCTCTCCCCTCACCTCTCCTTGTCTTTCATTCCTCCCCCTCCCTCTCCATTCCTCTCAGAGACACCTGTAGAGGAGATGACGCTCCCCCACACCTGCGTCTCTCTCTCTCTCTCTCACCTTCCCCCGTTCCCATCCCTCTCTCTCCTTCTCTCTCTCTCTCTCACTCCTCTCAAAACTCCAAAGACTCACTGTAGAGGAGATGACGTTCCCCACACCTGCGTCTCTCTCTCTCTCTCTCTCCTTCCCTCCCTCCTTTCCTTCTCTCTCTCAGACCTTCCCCCGTTCCTATCCCCACCTCCCTCCTCTCTCTCTCTCCTTCTCTCTCTCTTCACACACCTGTTGACGAGATGACGTTCCCCCACACCTGCGTCTCTCTCTCCTCCCTTCCTTCCTTCCCTCCTCCTCCTCTTTTCCTCCTTCCCTCTCTCCTTCTTTCCTTCCTTCTCCCTCCTTCCTTCCCTCTCCTTCTCTCTCTCCTCACACACCTGTAGAGGAGATGACGTTCCCCCACACCTGCGTCTCTCTCTCTCTCTCTCTCTCTTCTTCACTCCCTCCCTCTCTCTCCTTCTCTCTCTCTCCTTCCGTTCCCATCCCTCTCCTCCTTCTCTCTTTCTCTCTCTCTTCACACACCTGTAGACGAGATGACGTTCCCCCACACCTGCGTCGACTGGAAGAACAGGAAGAAGATGCCGAAGAAGCGGTTTATGGTCAGTTTACTCTCTTCCTTCAGTATGTCTGCGTATTTGGTGCCGCCCTAAGAGAGAAGTTTAGAGGAAGTTTATAGTTTATTGAAGTTTATAGTTATAAAAGTTTATAGTTTATAGGTCTATAGTTTATTTATAGTTTTATAGAAGTTTGTAGTTTATAGAAGTTTATAGTTTATAGAAGTTTATAGTTTATAGAAGTTTATATAGTTTATAGAAGTTTATAGTTTATAGAAGTTTATAGTTTGTAGAAGTTTATTGTTTATAGGACTATAGTTTATAGGTCCTATAGTTTTATAGAGTTTATAGTTTATAGATTATAGAAGTTTATAGTTTATAGAATTTATAGTTTTATAGAAGTTTATAGTTTAATAGAAGTTTTATAGTTTATAGAAGTTTATAGTTTATAGAAGTTTATAGTTTATAGAAGTTTATAAAGTTTATAATAGTTTATAGAAGTCTATAGTTTATAGAAGTCATAGTTTATAAAAGTTATAGTTAAATATATAAAAGACCTTGGTGAGATAAAAGGTCACAAAAAATGACAAAAAAAATGTGACAAAACAGGGTAAAAGACCACAAAACGCAAGAAATAAAGAAATAAAGGCAAAAATCCTAACCGTAAACCTTCGTTTAAGGTTAGATAAAAACAATAATAAACACAAATCTTGGTGAGATAAGAAAAAAAAGAAAAAAGAAAAAAAGAAACAGCAAAAAGTAAAGAAAAAAAAACTACAAATAAACATAACCCATAACGAGATACAATAAATAAATAAAACGAATAAATAAAAAATAAAATAAACTACAAACCAAACATAAACACAACCCTTAACGAGACACAAAAATATTAATAACAATAATAATAACAAGAAGAAATAAAAAAATATATAAATGAAATAAATCAACAAACAAAAACAAATCAATGAAAACAAACAAAACCACCAGACCACAGACCTTCGTGAGATAGGTACACTTGGCCGACCACAGCGGGCCAGCAGCCAGACCCAACAGGAAAGCCGAGGGAACCAGAAGATACACCTCAGGATACACTTGCACCGCCATATAAGGGAGGAAACACAGCATGCAGAGGACGATGGTGTGTTTCTCTTTGAGTTTATTGATGGCGAGAGAAGGGAGGAAACTGCAGGAGAGGATCATGCCGATGTACAGGGCGGTCATTCCTGCCGTGCCGTGGGTTCTGCGGGAGAGAGACAGAAGGGTTTGGTTGTGCGGATAACGGGTTTGTGTTTCGGAAGAGGTGTGGTGGTGGTGGTGGTGGTGGGTGTGTGTTGGGTGGTGGTGAAGGGTGGGGGTATGTAAATACCTTAAAAATGTTTACGGTTATATGTGTGGTTAAATGTGCATTTATATATATATATATATATATATATATATATATATATAATATATATATATATATATATATATATATATATATATATATATATATATATATATATATATATATATTACTTATATTATATTACACCACACACACACACACACACACACACACACACACACAACACATATATATATATATATATATAATATATATATATATATATATATATATATATATATATATTATATTACACCACACACACACACACACACACACACACACACAGTATATATATAATATATATATTATATATATATATATATATATATATATATATATATATATATATATATATATATATATAATATATATAATATATATATATATATATATATATATATATATATATATATATATATATATATTATATAATATACATATATACACACATAATATTTATTTGTATACACACACACGCAAATATACATGTATATATATATCTTTATTATATTTCATCTATTCTTTACCCATAACCAGAGGAAAAGCCAAAGCCAACTTACTTATTGAGAGAGGACTGCAAATTGATATTCGAGTTGTAACTTGTGAACTGGAAGGTGAAAGCCAGGGAAATAAGGAGGAGATTTTTCGTAATGGCCAGCTTCGTCTGCTTCTCCTCCTTCGTCAGCCCGCGCCGCGGAGTCGCCTCTGGATGGGATCCGCCCTCGACTGACCTGCCGCCTTGACCTTGTCCAACCTGGGTCGATTCTGGGTGGGAGGAGTTTTGATGAGAGTTTGTTGTTGTTGTTTTTTCTAGGGGGGGGGAGTGGAAGATTTTTTTCTTTCTTTTTCTTTGGAAGTTCATTTTCACGTAAATGATAATTTTTTGTAGATCTGAGAGAGAGAGCGAGTGAAAGAGAGGGAGAGAGAGAAAGGGAGAAAAGTGTCAGAGAAAAACAAAAACAATTCAATAAAAAGAAGAGGAGTAGTGAATGAGTAAGTGAATGAGTGAATGAGAGAGAGAGAGAGAGAGAGAGAGAGAGAGAGAGAGAGAGAGAGAGAGAGAGAGAGAGAGAGAGAGAGAGGAGAGAGAGAGAGAGAGAGAGAGAGAGAGAGAGAGAGAGAGAGAGAGAGAGAGAGAGAGAGAGAGAGAGAGAGGAGAGAGAGAGAGAGAGAGAGAGAGAGAGAGAGAGAAGAGAGAGAGAGAGAGAGAGGAGAGAAGAGAGAGAGAGAGAGAGAGAGAGAGAAGAGAGAGAAGAGAGAGAAGGGAGACAGGGATAGACAACCAAACATAAATAAAGAGAATACATACCTTGAGAAGCCCCATTGTCTCCCACGAAAGAAGGATTCTGCACACCGCCACCAAGTTCCATACTGGCCATTATAATCCCCGCCACACTGTCATAAAAACAAGAAAGAATTACCGGTAAATGACAACAAACAAGAAATGTTGATTCTCTAGTAGAAAAAAGAGCTAAACATAAACTGGTTTTAAGGAAGAGTGAGACAACGGTTTCGAAATTCCCCTTGATGTTCTGGACGGGACCTGAAGATGAAAACAAAAATCGAAACGTTTGTCTCACTTTTCTATAAATCTAGACTTTTTTTCTACCACTAATAAGGTAAATTAACCAATTATTCCATAATGTAACCAATCATTTCACAAAATCGACCCTAACTTATGTGATTTCCTTCGTTGCTCTTTTTATAATACAAATATGGCGACAACAATGCATCAACAGCTGTTTTGATTAGTGATTAAAAAAAATTATCTTTTTTATTTTTGTATGTATTTATTATTATTATTATTATTTTTACTTTCTTTGACTTTTTAACTTCTTTTGCAACAAACTTTGAAAGCAAGAGAGTCGGAGGCGAGTTTACACCTGGTTGGCAAGATACAGAAGAGAGAAAGAAAGATGAACAAGAAACTTATCTCTGTCTGTCTATCTATCTATCTGTTCAGTTATCTATCTGTCTGTCTATCTGCCTATCTGTATCTTTCGTTTTTTTCTATTTCCATTTTTCTTTTCTCTCTCTCATATCTCTCTCTGACTTTTGTTTTCCTTTTTCTTTCTTTCTTTCTTTTCTCTATTCATTCAACTACCTGTTTGTATATCTGCCTATCTATTCAACTATCTATCTGTCTATATGCCTATCTATTCAACTATCTGTCTGTCTATCTGCCTATCTATCCATCTATCTATCTGTCTCTATGTGGGTGTATGACCAAGGGGCCCAAGCCGAAAGTCCAATGAGGTTCTGTGTAAAAGTGAATGTGTAAATAGAAATGAAACGAGTTGCTGGCACCGTCCACCGCTCCCGAAACTCACATATTTAACTACCATTCTGAAGGCTGTGGGATTCATAGATTAGCTTGGGTGACCGCGCCTATGAGGTGAGTGGATTCTATTGAAGAAAAAGAAAAAAAGAAAAAGAAAAAAAAAAAGAAGAAAAAAATCCTTCTCGAGGATGATTGCATACCATGAACACAATACCCGTTTTCTATATGCTTTGCGGTTACATATTAGGAGTAACTCAAGAATCTTACGCAAGAAACTGCACATATTATATCGATGATTATAACTTTTTTCATTACTTTACAATAAGCTAATTTCTCTAAAACGGATAAAAAAATCAATATAAGAGAGAAAAGCCATTTATTATACTCTGTTCCTTTCGAGTTATATCCCATGAGAAAATGAAAACAATATTAATTGTTGCTCGCCTGTTCCATAAAATACGTTTCTCCCTCCATCATCTCTTGCCCTTAATCCAAGAAAACGTCTAATTGTTGGTCAATTCATGCCAAAACGAATGTGCTGGGAGTTAAAAGTATGACAGACAGATTATTAGGACCAAATCTATGAGTATGTCAACGGCATTTCTGTAGTGAAATCGTGAGTTATTCGTAATTTCTAAATCTCTTCGTTGGAAGATTTAATATGTAAATTAAATTTTGCATGCACACATATCAGACACTTTTTTAAATAACATTATCCTGGGAAACTTTTCCCTCTAAATAAAGCAGCTGAAATGAAAATCATCTGTCAAAGAGATCTGAATTTGACACCCCTGCTTTAGACGAACGATGAATCCGAATCCGCATTCATTACTATGCGAACGGAGAACGAATCCACGTGTTTTCTTTTCTTGAACTGAATCAAAACGTCTTGGGGGGAGGGGGAGGGGGAGGAGAAGAGGAGTGGAGGGGGTTAAGAAGTAGAGTAAAATTATAAAATAAACTGAAAAATAAAAACATATTGTGTGATTCGCCATAGTATCTTTTCTCAAACTCTCATCCGTTCTTTTCACTGTACCAGACTCGGTAAACTCAACAACTCTAAAATTAATATAACATTATCATCAATGGTTTTGAAATTAGAGGGAAAAAGTTATCAAGCGACCTAATGAAGT